CTGTGTGATGAATCAAGATCCGTGATTGCAAATCCCTCAAAAGTTTTAAAAACTTGCACGTTTCCCAACAAGTATATGCTAGTGTGTTAATATTAATGGACATCATGAATTTTTAAAAAGATTAATGTGCATGTTGTTCAGGAATGGGAAAGTCTTAAATTTCTAGTTTGGTTAGCCAATTGAATGGACTGAATTGAAAGATATTTTAGGGATGTTGTACCAAAGATATTTGTGATATATTTAAGTTCCATGAGGTTTGGTTGGGTTGTGGTTGTGGACGTCATGTAATTTAAATACATTGTTGTATACTGTCAGGAGTGGAGGAGTTTTTATTTGCCGGTTTGTTTTAACCAGTTTATTTTGGTAAATATAAAATACCATTGGGGTTGTATATAATGTGTTGTGAGACTTCTTAGTTGACATATTATGTCAAGGATAGGTTTTAACATGGAGGATTAAAAAGGACGTCATGTAATGAAACGATAATTTTCATGCCGTCAAGGATTAAGGAGGATTTTCATTACTAGTATTTGTTTTAATAATTTAAATGAACTAGTATGAGAGTATGGTTTGGGATGTCTAGTATAATGTGCTCAGCTCATATTTTTGATAGTCATTATACTATAGTGTGGGTGTTAATTGATGAACTATTGAAATTTCTGTTTTGTCAATTGGATGGATATGGATGGTTTAAATTGTCTATCAATGCGTTAACAATTTAAATGGAAGTTTTATGATTATAATTATATACTGGATGCATAATTTGGTCATACATATAATAGACTGTATATATGTTTATTTTGGAGTATGGTTAATGAATATTTATTATTAATTTGTCAACTATATTGGATGGAGGATGGTATGCACCGGTATGGGACGGTGGCATACTAGGTATGGATTAGTTCGAACACTATAACTTACTTATTCTGGATTAAGGTGTGAATTTACCATAAAGGTTCAATCCCACTCATATTTGTGTCATATCAATTATGAATTGAATTACATACTTTGGTTTCTGGATGGATTGTTATACTTATATCAGACCACTACAAAAGATGGATGATATTTTGTATTAGGAGTATACGGACTTTATATACATATCATTATGGTGTCATGGTATGAGCTTGAGTCTCAGGACCATGGTTAGGGTGCGTATATCGCCTAGGATGGATAACTGAACACAGGTGTTGTTCCTTGGTAGGTCTAGATACACATGACCACAGTATGCGCGATTTGCATGGTATCTCTCCTCAGGCTGAGACACTTGTTGGACTAGTGAGCGTCCTATAGTGTGTATCTATATCTATATGGACTATTTTAGCTATTGCCGAGCTATTTAGGATGTATCTGCTTATCGGGTTTATGTATGGATTGTAGTAGTATGGAACTTGCATGTGGGCCTGACCCACCCTTATTTTTCAGGTGTTCGTGAGTACCAGACTTAGGGCTTGATCGTGGTGATGCAGATACAGACACTCACTCTTCCGACTGTATAGGAGTTTCTTTCTTATTTTAGTTTTGGGCTTTAATTCTGTATTTCATTTACAGTTGAGGATTATTAGGGGTCCACTTGGTGGATTCCCGAGTTGTAAGGATTGGAAAGTTTAAATTATATTAAAATTTTATTCGAAGGATTTTTCGTATTTAGAATTCTTATCAGCTTATTATTATTTTATCTTATTTCATTTTTTTTTTATATTCGGTGTTCAATTATATATTGATTGTTTGGTATCCCTCGGATCTGTGCTCGGACTTGATCACCCGTGATTCTAGAATCGAGGGGTATCACAAGTATCTTGTTCAATTCATTGATAATTGCCTTTGGGAGAAGGAAAATGCTGGACCAGTAAAACAAAAATATTGTTATATAGTTACAATTAATTGGACCACCAATCGCCACAACTGTATCTTATGGATGAGGTTATCTCAGACTCTCAAAATTTTTTGTGAGAGGTCATCAGATTTTCGACTCGCTTAGTCCTTATTGCAAGTGAATGGGTTGACTCCAGATTGAGTAGCGGTGTTCTGGGGTTCTTTGCAAGTTTGACATTAATAAGGCCTACTATCACGTGAATTGGAAATTTGTACTCTATATGATGGAGATGATGGGTTTTGGAGAGGTGGAGGAGATGGATCGAGTTTTGCATCTCCACTATTAGATTCTCTATTTTGGTGAATGGAGCTCTGATTGGTTTCTTCAGTAGCTCGTAGGGATTAAGGCAGGTGGTCCACTCTCCCCTTTCATGTTCCTCATTGTGACGGAGGCTCTTAGTACGATGTTGAGGAGGGTAAAGTATTTGGGCTTTATCGGAGGTTTTAAGGTGGGGAAGGGATTCTCTGATCAGTCAGTTGGAGATTTTTCATTTGTTATCCGCTGATAATACCTTAGTTTTTCCTGATGCTCACGAGCCTCAGATGAGATACTTAAGATGAGTGTTGATTTGGTTTCAAGTTATATCTGACTTAAAAGTTAATATGGGAAAGAGCGTCATCGTTATGGTTAGGGAGGACCCTTATATGAATTACTTCTATTGTTGATACTTTTGGGTGCAATGTTCGTTCATTTCCTATCACGTATTTGGGGTTATCCTTGGGGTGTCTTTAAGGACAGTGGGTAGTTGGGATCCGATGGCAAGTTTGAGAGGAGGTTGGCAGGGTAGAAGAAGTAATACATGTCAAAAGGTGGGAGGATAATATTAATGAAAAATATATTGTGGAGTCTTCCCACATATCTCTTCTTGTTGTTTTTTTTTTTTTTTTTTTTTTTTCAGATTCCTTATTTTGTGGAAAAAAGAGTTGGGTAGATTCAACAGAATTTCCTTGGGCTGGTATGGAAAAGGAATTGAAGTATCATTTGGTTAATTCGATCGAGTGGTTGCTCGAGTAAGAATGAATGCTAACCAACACAATTTTAATAAATTAGAGCCAACTAGCATAGGAAAGGAATCTGGAAGTCCAACAGTAATTCTCTCAACTAGCAATATTCTACACGATGTTAGTAATCTAGATGAAGTCAAAGGCAGTCCCAAATACTTGAAAGGTAATTCACCCAACTCAAATCCACAATTAGCAACCATGATTTACTGGGGTCTTAATAGAAAAATTAAAAGTGAAAATCTGACTCTTTGCAATGTTTGGTTGTCAGTTAGTTAGGGATGGGAAGATTTTGAGTCCTTTGAGAAGATCACAAAAAGGAAAGGAGAGACATGATCACCCTTTTTTAACCCCTTAGAACCTTTACAAAACCCAACCAACTCCCCATCGATTGAGATAGAGTAAACTTTAATCGGAGTGGTGCATCAAAATATTCTCGGGGTACTATAAACTTCTGCATCAAAATATTCTCGGAGTATTGTAAACTTTGAGGAAGTTTATGATACCCTAGGGGTATTATATATGTGGTATCCCTAACTAATGAATAGACATAAAAATTCTCAATTTACCTTATTACATAAGAAATTGAGAGTTTATATGTTTCTTTATTGGTTGGGCAGCACGTGTGAGAATTCCAAAATATTATAAACTTTTTCGTAGATTTTGTTATGATTTGTGACGGTTGTGAGCATTTGATGTTTGTGCACTATTTGATATTTAAAAAATTTATGGGTTGAGTTGATTGTTTGCTAAAACAAAAATGAAATGATGATATTTTGAGAAATAAAGATTAATCACGACTCCAATAAAGTCCTTTTAGATTATATTATTTTCTTCGTATTTTTATTTTTTTTCAAAAACTTCATTAGAGAATACTGTATTTTTATTTTTTTCAAAAACATCATTAGAGAATACCGTAATCATACTTCTTAATATCAATATTATATCCTAGCCATTTTATTTTCAAAGGCAATATTTGATAAGTTGTTCGAATGAAACTTTTGGTACTCTCGACATGGGAGAAAGACTTTAGTGTACACGGGTGATACTAGGTCAGGGATATCAATCAATTATATATTGTCGTATAAGTAAAAATAATTTATTTTAGTAAGTTTGGCATTTTTTAATCCGTTGATGATACCATATCATTAATACAACTGGAGTAATATATTATATATGTCATCAACCTATATTGTCATATGAATAAAAAATACATTACTTAAAGCGGATCAATTTTTTTTTTGGTTAAACTTAAAGCGGATCTTATTTATTACTAGGTGGCAAATTTTAATAAATATGTTTTTAATGCTGCCAGAGTGATAATGTATATCCCCTCGCACAGGGACTGTGGAGCCAACCACAATTGATGGGATCCACAAATTATGTATTACAGTGCCCCAACAGTTCTTCGATCGAGACAAGGTATGGATTATGGACACTCCATTTCGAATGAAATGGACCTACCTACCAATTATATTGTAAAGTATGAAAAACATGGAAAATAATTGTAGATATACGGCCGGCTGAGGAATAAAGTTTCTATATATATATATATATATTCAAATGCTATATGCTAGTGCATGATGATGCGTCGTGTATAGAAGTCAAAAGCTCTCATATAAGGCGTAGAAAAAAGAGTCACAAAAAAAGTGAACTTGCATGTGATTTAAAGGATGCTGGTCGAAATTTTAACCAAAAAAAAAAAAAAAAAAAGGATGCTGGTCGAAATTTTTTTATTTCTTGACTTTGTTTTTTTGGGTAAATTGTTTCTTAATTGTATTGAATAATATCAAAGATTTGGATTTAATACATTTTGATTTGAAAATTTCTCAGTTAGCATTCTTCATTTGACAAAAAACTTTGCTAAAGTTTGTGAAATCCAAACTCTTCTTTTTTTTTTTTTTTCGGATACCATATATAACTCTAAATGTTCAAAAAGGCCAAATATATTTTTTTCTTACTACTTTGAAGGACTGGACTTATTCTTACAAAATTTATAACACTCAGAATAAACTATTAGATAATGTTGTCAATTCACATTTCCATTTAGATCGGATGTGAAACAAGAACTCATAACATTTTTGAAGAAAAAGAAAAAAAAAAACTGCCATCTACAACTCCAAATATTTCCAAAAGGCCAAACATATTTCTTACTAGAGAGAGCAGATAAAATACACACTTGCAGAGATCAAATAGATCATTATTACACCATTTTAATTGAATTTAGTATAAAAAACTTGAAATAAAATTAACTGAACAATTAAACCACAACTTATATGTATAGTTGTCATCTAAACCAGAAGCTGAAAACCAGAACTTTTATCGTCTGCAATTGGTGAAACATATTTGAGTAATTCCTTGTCACTCTCAAATTTAGGCATGTCCTCTTCCTTCAAGTTGACCCATACCTCAATTCCATCACCCAATTTGGTGTCCATGAACACAACCAAATTCTTGAATGTCAAGCTAGCTGACCCAACCCACACAGGCTTTCCCCACCCGAAATCAGCTTCATAGAGAGGAAACCTGCACAAACTGGTGAAGCTAACCGAAACCACCTCCTCTTTTTTGACCGACTTAGCCCTATTCTTTATGAAATTCAAGAAGTCATCACCCTCTTGAAGTTTCTTCACGAACTCACCATTGATGTTCTTGATAGCATCTCGCACACTGCTCACAACCCCGTAACATTCTTCCTTGGAGTCCATGGATGGCACCGCGATCGCGAAGCTGCTAACGTTGCCAAAATAGTACTCTGGCAAAGGAGGGTCCATCCTCGTGCGTAGGTTCACCGCGTGGAGCACGGTGTTGAGCTTCTCGGTCTCTTCTTTGGTTTGTGTGCTGGCCACAAAACGGCTCCATATGAAGGTTGACAAGGCCTCAATACGAGTAGGGCGTCTGGAGTTTTCTACACTTGTGTTGTCTGTGTATTTTGCTCTTAGAGAAGCAATCTTGGAGGCACTGAAAATGAACCTCTTTGTCACAATCTCCTCCTTGAAGATCCCAATGCCAGCCTTGAATCCAGACATTTCTCTTGGAGGGAAGAGCTTGGCCAACCCGAAATGGGGAGTGACCATATCACTATCCCCACGAGCAGTGCCAGCCCAGCCATTGACAAACATGAACATGGACAAAGCGTCCGCGATCTTGTGTGAAATGCACACACCAATAGCGAGCCCACCACACTCGAAGATGTTCACTTGAATGGCCAGGACTAGCTCTCCAATATTGTCCAGTTTACAAGGAAGCAGCTTGTTAAGGTCACTAGGGTTTGGTTGATCAATGACATCAGAAAGTTGGCACTTGACTTTGGCCTCCAAGTAGAGGACACCCTCGTCGTTGCAGTGGATGAAGGCGTTATCTTTGGCTCTCCCCGCAAGAGGGTAGAACCGGGTTAAAGCCTCCGATAACGACTGCTTGAGGTGGTGAGATCTGTTTATATGGCGGTGTCCGGTTTCAGAGTCAGAGGGGTAGAATAGAACAATGGGCATGAACACCGGGGCGGCGATTTGATCACAAAAAGAGAGCTGCAGCTTGCTAAGGTGGTCAGGGGTGGGAGAAGAAGGTTTAATGGCATCTCTAGAGATCACTTCAACCTTCATGGTGGTAAATGGTTAAAAAGCAAAACTCACAAGACAAAGTATAAGAGTATAGACTACTGTGTGTAGTGTGTGTTGATTGACTCTAGCTCTTTGTGTGTGCATGAAAAATGAAGTGCCTATTGCCCTCTTATATAGTGTTGGCTCTAGTGGATTTAGTATGAGATTAATGACCAACTTGCTTATATATTATATAAGCAAGTTGGTGATTGAAATATTTGTTTTTTGTGAGTGATCGAGTTGGTGGTTATTAGTCTTTGTATAATTGTATTGAACTAGAGAATTTTCTAAATAAATGTGAAACTAGGTGTATGATTTCAAATATAGGCCAGGCGGTTTTATACGTGTTATTAGGAAAATTTTGACTTCAAATGACAAGTGGGTTTGGTTTTTATCCAAAACTACAATGGTGATGGGGTAGGCCATAAAGCGAGTAGACAAAAAAAAGTAGTACTTTGACCCGATAAAGGTCCTATTTGACTAGCCGGGCGGGTCAACTGTAAAAACCATGGATCTTCAACAATTTAAGAAAAAATATAGATGCGTTTCAGACCATTTTTGCAGTCACATCTCTACCAATAAAATTCACAAAAAAATAAGAATATACATTAGTTGAAAAAGGTGTTCAGGCAAGTGGTTTTTGTAATACTTATTTACATAATATATTCAGTGATATATGGATATAGAGGGTTGACGGAAGAGCTTTTTATTATTTATTTATCATTATTATTTTTGGCCGGGTTGGGTAAATATTGAGCTTGATTGAATCCGTACCTCCCCTTGGACTAATGAGGTTTATATATATATATATATATATATATATATATATATATATATGGACAAATCTTCCAACAATGGTGTTTATGGAAGAACTCTTGGTCATTTATGCTTATCATGTATAATATTATGTTTGTACACACAGTACAAATCGCAAGATTATGAATATCTGAGAATAATTTAGTTTCATATATATATATATATTTTTTCATGCATGTGAATTAACATATAACATGCCTGAAGCATGTAATAATTGGATTTGAACAAACAATGAGCACGAGCATCTCCAATGCTATTTCATTTGGGCTGTTAAATTCAAAATTTGAGAGAGGTGTAAAAAGTGAGCTCTTCAATGGCTTTTCATTTGGGCTTTCAAATTTTGAGAATGTCAAATTTTCTCTTATATATAGGAACTACCAATTTTTTTGACAAGCCTTCTCTCTCTCTCTGTATCAACACATTCGTGCTCACACACGCACGTATATAATCTCAATCCAAAAGCTGTTCCACACACACACACACACACACATATATATATAATTTTAACCCAAATTCGTCTATATATATATATATATATTTAAAAAAGATCATAAAAAATTTCACCAAATAGGATTTAGTTTGCAAAATAAGAATTACAGACCTTGATTAGTTGATTTAGAAAAAAAAATTAAACAAAACCCATATATACAATTTAGCAGTTGCAGAGACAGAGAGAGGCCTTGAGAATTGTGAGAGTGGCTGAAACTTGCGAACGGCGAACCCGAATTGAAATAGCGGGCGAAGTAAACTGAAAGATATAGGTTTTTGAACAATCTGAAATGATATGCCAATATGGGTTTTGATCTTTTGATTCTTGCAGACAGATAGATAAATTGAAATATATGGGTTTTCAACTTTTGATTCTTGCAGATTTTCTAGTTTGCAGTTGCAGAGAGAGAGATAGAGAGAGAGGGGGAGTTCAGAGTTGAGAACGAGAATAGAGATGGAGGCTGAAATGATTTGTCCTAAAAATATATATATTTTTAATAATAATATACTCAAATATATATAATATACATATATAATATATATGAATTTTCGAAAAGGAAAAAAAAATTATTTAAAAAGATTATATAATAATATAATCAAATATATAAATTTATACATATATTTGGTCCTTTTTTGATCAGATATTTTAAATTTTTGTTTCTTTTTAATTAGGTTTAATTTTAGTTTCCTTCTAATGTTACAACTTGCTTTGGAATGTGCCAAATATTAATATTACTAATGCAAATATGAATGGTGAGAATGGTAGTTGAAAAAGAATGGTGATTGTATTAAAAAATAGCATTTTGCATGAAATGCGCCATTAGAGCAGAATTGTTAAAATGTAATATTTTGACATTGTAACACATGTCAAAATATAAATTTGATATGCGAAAATAACTTTTAACATTGAAGATGCTCTTAGGTAAGAATATAAAATCATTGTTGGCTAGGATTCTAGCAAAACCATGAGCCAAGTTTCAAACACAGGGTTTGGCAACTTTAAACTAAGGTTTCACGAAAGTTCCTGTATAGCAAGATAGAGCTACACATTCAGTAGTCCAATGTGAAAAGGTAAGCAAGATAGAGCTACACATTCAGTAGTCCAATGTGAAAAGGTAAGGGAATTGTATTGACTCCCCCCCCCCCCCCCCCCCCCCTCCCCTTTTTTTTTTTTTTCAAATGTTTCTAAACACAGAAAAGCAGCCGCCTCAACTTTCTCTCCCTCCTCTCTCTTACTTTCTCTCTATAGCAGCTACGTCATTTCACTCTGCCTCTTTGCTCCTTTCCATTAGAGTGGGGAGATGAAACTCGCATTTTACGACTGTAATAAACTCGGCATATTTCAATAAATGTGTTCTGTGAATATTTTTTATGTCATTTTTGGTTTTATTCGGCTAAATTTGTTTCATATTTGGTTCGTTCTCGGATTACATGGGCAGATCTGTTATTTTCTCTGACTAGATCTCTGATCTAAGCCAGTTTGATTTTTCCTGTGATTAAATTTTTTTTTCATTGATTTGATCTTGTGCGAGGTTTCTTAGGTATTGGAGCACCTTATGGTTGTAGCTTTGGAGGGATTGCTGTGTTAATGGCCAGATCTTTCGGTCTCTCCTGTTTGCTGCGTTCTTTCATGGTGGTTCCGTTTGCAGAATATTTGGTTATGTTTCCTCTACAAATATGGAGCCTGTTCTTTATTTATTTACTTTACTTCAAAATTTGTATGCCTTTTCTGATTTGGCTTTTATGCTTCTGTACTACCATCTTAGCTGCTTTAGGCCTTTTTATCTTTAAATAACGACCAAAAAAAAAATTCCCAAATCAATCATATTCATTATTTTGGTTTTGATCTAAAAGATTTTGTTTTAGAGGCTCCATCTGGATAATGAAGTGTGACATTGATATAATGTAACGTTTGTCAACATGACAAATGACTAATCCGGCCAACCATGAATGCCGACAGTTCCAGTACAGTTCAGGTCCCCATCGCGGTTTTGTATTCGTATTCAAAATCATTTAAGGACCTCTTGTTCCTTATCTCTGGTTTCGATTAAGTTCTCCCACCCTATTCCCCTTTTTATCTTGCGGGACGTGGCCCCGATTTTAGGACCCTTGTATTTCAGTATATAATGATTTAGGAGGAGCGTAATATGACAAGAATAATAAGGGTCTGGGGGATGAAACCAATTAAACACATGCACAAGGATCCCTCCCTCCCATGTGGATGGAGACTCGTCAAAAACATTAATCTTTGAAAGCGGATTCGAACACTCATATTTCTTGGATGAGGGGTGCTATATGCAGTGCTTTGTCCTTTTATAGCGTTAGTTTTAAATTTTATGTTTTTAAACAAAAATATCTTTTCGTAAATAAAAAAAAAAAAAAAGAATCCATACACATACAAGATGGATTCTGAAATCAATTATATATTTCTTCTTACAACTATCCTTGAATTAATGATTTCTTTCTTCTTTGTGTTTTTTTCTATATATATATATATATATGTATGTATCTTTTTGTTTTTATTTTTACAACTATCCTTGTATAAATGGATTTTTTTTTAACAAAAAAAAAAAGAAAAGGAAAGGAAATAAAAGAATTCATTCACCATGATAGTTGTAAAAAGAAATATATACATGTGTGTATATATAACTAATTTTGTGTATATATATATATATATATTTTAAATCTTAGAATCTATCTTGTATATGGATTCTTTCCTCGTTTTTCTTTCTTTTTCTTTTTCTTTTTCTTTTTTTCGATTATCCTATCCGTTCACATAACATTAGTTATTAAACGAAGAAAAAATTGGAAAAGAAAAAAAAGAAAGGTAAAAAAAAGGACCATACACATACAAGATGGATTCTGGGATAGATTATATATTTCTTCTTACAACTATTCTTGAATTAATGAATTCTTCCCCCTTTTTTTTTTTTCTCTTTTTTTGTTTTTTTCTATACATATATATATATATGTTTCTTTTTGTTTTTATTTTTTTATTTTTACAACTATCCTAGTATAAATAGATTTTTTAATTAAAAAAGGAAAGAAAAGAAAAGAAAATAATTTATTCACCAAGAATAGTTGTAAAAAGATACGCGCGCGTGTATAACTAATTTTGTATTTTTTAAAAAATATCATAATCTATCTTATATATGGATTCTTTTCTCGCTTTTTTTTTTTCTTTTTAATTTTTCAATTTTTTTTTTTTTAATACACACATTCTCATATGGATATATAAAAGGAGGAGAGAAGAAAAAATACTAGATAATTTAAAAGAGTATTTTTATTTTAAAAAATAATATTTGTAAAATTCATAAAAATAAAAATTTTAAATAATTAATACATTTAAAACTAATCAATTAAACTGTTCTTCTGCTTGACTGCATCGTCCAGTGTGTTTGTTGTAATAGATAAAATGTCATTGAAAATAACCCAAAATCAATAACGACCTCCGAAACTTTAATGCCATTAATGATAAGCAGACTTTTGAAACTTGGAGTTGCTCAAAACTAATGCTGAACTTTGAAATTTGTATGTTACAAGAAATTATTCAGAATTTGAGACGTGTACGTATTTACTTTTTTAAAGTGTTATTTGTCAGCACTCTTTAAAGAGTTTGCTACCCGATTACGTAGCAAAACACTTACGGGATACATCAAAATCGAATTTGCAATGACTAATATTGAAAAATTCTCTTAACACTCATTTAGACTATTTACAACTTGGACGGGTGATTATAATAGGCGAAGAGAGAATTATATCGTATGTATGCTGTATATGAATTTTTGAATCCAACCACACATTTCTCATTCTTTATATTATAACATATAAAACATAACAAAACTCAGTTATTTTGTTCTACTATTAAAGTACAAATGTATCTGGTACATAATTTTGCAATATATATTTAAGAAAAAATAGATGTGTTTTTAGACTATTTACGATCACATTCACTCATTCGAAATGTT